GTTTTGGAAAATATAGTTATTTTTCAAAAATGATTTAGTTAAAAAAATATATATATATATATATTTTTTTCTTTTTCTTTTTTTTTTTAATTTGAGACAGAGTCTCACTCTGTTGCCCAGGCTGGAATGCAGTGGCACCATCTGAGCTCACTGCCAACTCCATCTCCCAGGTTGGAGCCATTCTCTTGCCTCAGCTTCCTAAGTAGCTGGGATTACAGTCACCCACCACCACACCTGGCTAATTTTTGTATTTTTTGTAGAGACAGTGTTTCACCATGTTGGCCAGGCTGGTCTCAAACTCCTGACCTCAAGTGATCCACCTACCTCATCCTCCCAAAGTGCTAGGATTACAGGCATGAGCCACCACGCCCGGCCAAAAATGGTTTTTAAATAAATATTTTGAGTAAGTTATGTTTTCCTTCCCCACGTTTGTCTTTTTTCTCCTCGGTCTCCTTAGTTGTCAAATTGTAAAACTGAATGCTATTCTTTCCCCCCATGTTAAATTTAAAAGCATAACATTTGTGGCTGGGAATGGTGGCTCATGCCTGTAATCCTAGCATGTTGGGAGGCTGAAGTGGGTGGATCACCTGAGGTCAAGAGTTCAAGACCAGCCTGGCCATCACGGTCTTGTCTTAAAAAACAAAACAAAACAAAATAAAAATTAGCCAGGCCTAGTGGTGGGTGCCTGTAATCCCAGATACTCAGGAGGCTGAGGCAGGGAGAATTGTTTAAAACCAGGAGGCAGAGGTTGCAGTCAGCCAAGATTGCATCACTGCACTCCAGCCTGGGTGACAGAGGGAGACTCTGTCTCAAAAAAAAAAATTAAATTAAATTAAAAAGCTTAACATTTGTGATATGCTCTAAAATTTCTCACTTCACTGAACCTATTTTTAGAAAATTATCTTTTGATTAAAAAAAAAAAAATCATTCATCTCTATGTAAGATCCCAAGGAGCCACTATAGGTGTAGATGGTTTTGCACTTGGATGGTGGGTGACCCTATGGGAACCTATGCTATCCTGTGTACACACAGAGCCTCTAGCTTTAGTAGGAAAGTATGTATGTTTTGCACATTGAGGTGTGGGGAGGGCAGGAAATTACCA